TTTTTTTTGCACAGTTCAGATCAAACATCTAAATAAAGTCATGGTGATCTCAGTTTTTCCCGTCCCGCAGATTCCTTTGGTGGACTGTGGAGACGATAAGAAGTGCATCACTGACCTCTCCCTCAAAGCAAAACCCAGTGTGAAAAGGTAAAACTGGGATTAGATTTATCCATTACTAATCAAATTCAGTTTTTTAATTAGTTTCCTATCTTATAAGAGGCTTTGATATACATTTCTTTTACATTTTTTGTTGGGAAATAACACTTTAAAGCTTTAAAAAAAACAACTATCAGTTTGATTAACCTAATTTTAACCTATAATTATATTTAACCGATAATTATGTAATCATACTGTCAATTATTTGGCTTTAAGTCAGCATTATTTTCCAGCTCTAACGTTGTGGGTTCAAATCCCGGCAGAGTATGACTGCGCCCTGGTGGGGAAACGTGTTCATGGCAGTTGGGCGTTTTTGACTCTTTTATTTTCCTCTCCAGCGCGGTGATAAAAGCCACCGCGAAAGACAAGATCGATGTGAACGTCAGCGTCAAAAACAAGCGAGACAACGCCTACAACACCAGAGTGGTGCTCAGCTTCACGCCCAACGTCGACTACGTGAAAGTAGAGGTGAGATTCCAGCTTTTCCCCCTGGTTTCTGTCAACATCTGGGGGAATTTCTGGTTTGTTTTCATGTCTTCTTGATTACCTGTTGTGTAAACCTGGGGTTCCCTTCCCTCATGTGTTTAAATAGTCCTCGTTTCCCCTTGTCTTCTTCTTTTGGTTTTGTAATTTATTCACAGTCCTGTTTGCTTGATTTGACACTTTGCTCATAGTCTTATTAACCCTATAATGCCAAATGTATCATATTTGATTCACACAGTTTCTGAAATGTTTAGCATCTGACACCTTTTGCATAATTTAATGGTAAAAACTTTGCTCAAAATCCTATTGTACACAATCAGATACACCTGATAACAGGGGGCAGAAGACTACACAAAAAAATTATCTTGACTTGTCGCATAGTAATAAATTATTAATATCAAAAATGTATTTCTGTTTTTTCTTTTTACATATTTTGTTAAAAGGCC